TAGCTGAGATGGGAAGTCAGGTGAGCTCTGTACCCCATAGCTGAGATGGGAAGTCAGGTGAGCTCTGTACCCCATAGCTGAGATGGGAAGTCAGGTGAGCTCTGTACCCCATAGCTGAGATGGGAAGTCAGATGAGGTCTGTACCCCATAGCTGAGATGGGAAGTCAGGTGAGGTCTGTACCCCATAGCTAGGATTGAAGGTCAGGTCAATGGTGGATCTGGGGGTAGGGCAAAAGGGCAATTTTAGCAGAAGGATGTGGGGACATTTTCATGAAATCCTAGGAGCAGACCATCAATGAGGAGCAGGTGTGGGCCCCTGTGCTACCAGTGTGCCCAGGAACTGGTCCAGAGCTCCCTGGCACTGAGGATCAGGATACGGGACCCAGCACCGGTCCTCTATAGCTGATGGTATTATTCTGCATTGCTGTATCATGAATTGCTGAGATTTGTAGTCCTCTACAGCTGATCATAATATTCTGCATTGCTGTATAATGTATTGCTGAGACTCGTAGTCCTCTATAGTTGATGGTATTATTCTGCATTGCTATTTAATGTATTGCTGAGATTGTTAGTCCTTTATAGCAGGTGGTAATCTCCATTGCTGTATGATGTATTGCTGGGATTTGTAGTTCTCAATAGCTAGTGGTATTTTCCATTGCCGTATAAGGTAGTGCTGGGATTTGTAGTCCTCTATACAGTGGCAGAACTACCAAGGTAACATAGTTGCAGCTGCGACTGGGCCCCAGCATTCCACTACTTGGGTGGCCTAGGCAGGAGGAAGGAAGCCCTGGCAACCACTGACATTACAGGTGACCGGGCCCCCTTCCTTCAGTCTCGGTCACTCCAACCTTCACACTATGCCTGGATCATGTGTATCACAAAGCTCTACAGCAGGGGTCTCAAATTACCGGCCCGCGGGCCACCTTTGGCACAGACCGCGTACCTGACTTGCGGTAGCAGCTATAGGGTCTGCATCTCTGTCAGATGCAGATCACATAATTGCTCCTGTCCGTGCCGGCACTCAGATCCTTTCGGCTGGAGCTCTGACAGTCTTCACTGAAAGGTGGCCGAAAGGATGGATTAGTGAGGCCTGCACCATGTATTATTTTATGTGTGCGGGGGGTGGGG